ATATGATTAGTTGCCCCAGAGTCCAAAATCCATGACTCTTTTGGAGCAGATGTCAAAAATGCAGAACAAAATAAAGCATTACTTTTAACCACACTAAGATTACTATCTTGACTATTATTTGTATTAAACCTTACTGGATGATTAGACTTTCTATTGGGACAATCAGGACGCTTGTGACCTGGCTCATTACATTCATGACAAACAATTTTTGTGTTACCAGTAGTCTTCTTCTTCTTCCATTGTTTTTTATTTACATGACCATGTAACAACAGAGCGGTCGACTTATCGTCTTGACTCTTCATTCTTCTGCGGGCACTTTCTTCCAGGAGAGCAACTTTCACCTCTTCAGATGATGGAGGAGTTTTCTTGTCACGAGTCAGCATCATGATGAGTGTTTCATAACTCTCATCTGCACCATTCATGAGAACGAAGGAGAGATATTTGTCCTCCACCTTTTCACCCATATCTTGTAGCTTCTGATGAGCTTGAAGAACATCATTTATAAATTCCTCCATACTGTTGAAATGTGATTGGCGGCTATTGAAGAGCCGTCTGGTTAGGTCAAATACTTGACTCATACTGGAGCCCTCAAAAGCAGCTTTTAAATTGTCCCAAGCATCTTTGGATTTGTTGGCATTTTGCACATGGACATAGCACGAAGGTTTCACACTGAGGCATATTTTGGCTAATGCCCGCATGTCTTTATCATTATTTGCGTCTGTCACTGCTTCAGTTCCATCCACGATGTTCCATAGTCCTTCAAGCACGAGGCTCATTTTCATGGCAAATTTCCAGGAACCATAATTTGCCTGACCATCAAGCTTGTCGATGTTAGGTACAGATGTTGAAATAGTGACTGGTGCAGCCATTGTGGACGTTGCAATAGTAATAGAATTTGTAGATAAAGAATTCGTGCCAGTGGTCTCAGGATTAATCATAACCTCACTTTATGTGGTCAATTAAATATATAAACTCATTAAAATGCGACTTACAATTTCAGATCACTATAGTACGCACTTCAGACGCTAGATCTGGGCCCATAACCTGTTTGGTTTATGATAATTAATAATAAAATGAGTTTTTAATTATTAACTAATATTTAATTAGCACGAGGTATTAGATAAGAGATAAGAGACATGATCTTGATAGAGTTCATGGATACAATACTTTATGATACACAGACACACGGAACATATGACAAGTATCATAGAAAGAATGACAATTGACAAACAGTCAGTATCAACGTCATACATATCATGTTGCCAACTTAACATACAATTAGATTATACACATGAAATTCAAATAATTGTAACAGCTCTAACAGTGCAATGGACTCTCACTAATTCCTTACCTAAATGTTTTTATACATTTTCTGTCCGATAAAAATCTGAACGCATTCTTATATACGCTCGTGGCAGTTGATAATTTTCTTAATTTTGCAAATTTACAATTTCTATTAATGAAGCTGCCATTCTCAAAATAACAAGTGAAGAAATCAGTCAAATATTCAATGACGCATTCGACATGAAAATGTCGACTGCTTAAGGCCACTCTACAATTTGTCTATCGAAAATTTTCGAATGCGCCATTCGAGAACGAGCACTCACGTTTTTTGTTCCACAATGTAGAAAGCTCGCGTGCGACAAAATATCTCACCATTTGAGAATATAGGGTCCCTGGGGGCCGATTCTTAATTGACGAATAAAATTCTCGCACACGATAATTTGTCGGGTACAACTGTCGTGTAATAGTTGTAAATCGAATTCTCGAGTACCCGTAGAGATACCGTAGACAGTCGATAATATTTGTCGATTGGAATGATTTGGCAAACAGCGTAACAGATGCACAGAACGCTGATATTTCCGATGGTTACTTTCTCAATCAGCCTCCAATTTCGTGTTCCATAACGATAAGAGTTGAAGGTTGAAGTTGAATATAAATAAAGAAATAATGAACAAGAAAATGTTTCGTTGATCGAATATATTTTACGAATTGTACGTTAGTCATTTCATTCATAGGGTCTCCTAGTACTTCTCTCAACTTAACCAATGCATCTTACTTGTTCTCTAAGTCTATAAGTTTTCAATAGCTGCCAATATTGCCATCTCTTCGTTCATGTGACGTGAAAATTATCAATTAAATGAATAGTATTGATGTATCGTTTATGCACAGGTACTATAGGTGATAACATTCCACTCCACTCTCCACATTCAATATTCATAACCTCAATGTGTCAATGACTTTTGTTAAAATTCGTCTAGTGACTTTTATCTCGACTGGGTAGAACCCACTCGTTGTTTTGTCTACTGAGAATTTTCTTTTGCGACATCTCACAACACGTATTTATCAATATAACATCTCATCGACGAAGATTACAAAAACTATCTACAAACAGTTGAAGAAAATATTGTCAATAATCCGAAACACATTTGGCAATTCATCAAAAACAAGAGAAAGTTAATTATGGTTTTTATCGAAACATTTTGCTCAATAACTTGAAGCCCGTTGCATATAGCTGAAAACGTAGCAGATACTTTTTGTTCATCAATGAATTAGTTTTCGTATGGTGTATATGACTCCTATTTTATAACAAACAGTTACTGAAAATGTGCCAAAACATTGTACCCGATTTGGTGTCGATAGGGAGCTCTAACGTAATTCCAAGTGTCGAAGCTGTCAGGTGTGTAAGAAAGCATATACTCTAGGTCTCAAACAGTATGATGAATTTATCGTGTCCCGCCTTGATCAAGTTCAAAATTCAATTCATGAAATTATTCCTCGAACCAATATTCACATATTCAAAACTATATCAAGAAAAACAGATAAGGCAAAGTCCAAGATTGCTAACTTGCGTAAAGACTCCAACTTGTTTTGCAGATTATATATCGCATGGAAACCAAATGTACCCGCCATCTATTTCAGAGGATGGAAAACTCAGAAAAGCAACAAACAAGTCTGATATAATTGACTGCATTGAAACAAAAGCTAACATTAGTTTTAATCACTGCCATCAGTGCCATCACACATACTTAATCCTGGTAGTGGTACATTTTAACATTTTCCGGATACTATGAACATGTTTTTAAACCATATTTTACTAATCAACTGAGGAATAGTTCACGACTAGATATTGTATTCGACCGATATGCTAGCAACAGTTTAAAGGCAGACACCCGAGAAAGAAGATGAAGTGGCATAAGTATTAAAGTCTCAGATTCAACTGCAATTCCCAAAAAATTTAAGCAATTTCTATGTGTTAAGGAGAACAAGACACAACTGTTCCATTTGCTAGCTGAGAAAATGGTGAGAAACGAGTATCCAGAAAAACATGTTTCCTACGACTACTACTGTAAGTGATGGATATTGTACACAAAACAATGGCAGTAAGCTTCTCCTTACACACGTGTGCGTAAAGAGAGCGATCGCACGGTTTCATAGGTATGTTGATAGATGACTTTGTTTTGTTGCTTAGGCGATGTGTCAATAACAATTAACAATTTCATTAATGTCACTAGCTAGGTGGGTAGGTACTTATCTTTTTATCAATCAATCCAGCTATCCACCGAAACAGAAAGAATCAGGAAAGTTATATTTTCTATTGAGAATCCTCAATTTCAGTTTAAAAAAAATGATGTCAAGCGATGATGATGAGCAGATTATTTCTACACCACCAGAAATGTTGGAAAAAGCTAGAATGGTAAAAAATGAGTTGCTACCCGCTTAGTCTCGTGAATGATACGAAATAGCAAATCAAAAATTCCTGGACTGGAGAATTAGAAATAATACCGTGTCATTTTCGGAAAATATCCTTTTAGTATATTTTCAAGAATTACCAAATTTCATGAAATCATCATCACTCTGGTCGATATATTCCATGTTACGATCAACACCAAATATCAATCACAATATTAACATAGCAACATATCCCATTTCATCAAAAGGGAAGGATGGATTCCGAAGTAAAAAATCAAAAATACTTTATGCTGAACAGATCAATTACTTTCTGTATAATGCTCCTGTTGAAGGTTATTTTTCAAATAACATACATACTCAACATTGAATTGATGTATTCTTTTTTCTTTAAATAACAGGACTAATTAAAAAAGATCCATCTTCGAAATTATATTTATAAAATATCTATTAATACGGAGAAATGGTGATAGCTCAGTTGTTGGAAGCGCTGGCTCCGAACCCAAAGGTGGGTGGTTCAGAGCGCAGTTGGAAAACTTTTTTTTATTATTTTTAATAAAATTACAGAATCTCTCTCTTGCTGCACTGTTACTAATAAATAACCATTATGAATGTTAATTTTATATTTTTATACAATGTGTTTTTGGCTATTAATAAAGCTGTTTAGATATGAAAAACGGCTCCATTTCAGTTCGAATTGAGGAAAATGTCTCGGTATGCAATGTATCAATAAAAAAACACAAGAATTGTGATTTGTAACTTTTCATGCAGCTGGCTTAGTGACGGAAGACGTTTCATATTGGTATTCGTTATTTGTGCCTTAATACAATATCTGCACTATCCGGAAGAAAATATAGTGTAGTCGTAGAAAAAGTATAGTACAATTCTCGAGTTGTAAAGCAATTACGCACTTGTGGAGTTACACACTTGCCGCTATGCGGCATCGTGTATAACTCTCTCCACTTCGTGCGTAATATGCGTTTTACAACTCTTGTTATGTAATATACTATTGTCTGTACTTATGATGACCGAGTCCTCACCTCAAGACCTATGGATGTATCAAGCATTTCTCCTGCCACGAAGAAGCATATGGCCGACTACTTCTGCATGTTAAGCATGCAGTAGAAAGTGAACATATTCACATTCTAATACGAACTGTGGACTCAGATGTAGTGGTTATTTCAATATCACTGCTTCCCCAAATACAAAATATTATTGAACTATGGATTGAGTATGGTTGTGGGAAACAAAGAAAATTCATTACAATTCATGAGATTTGTGCCAAACTCTCACCAGAAATTTGCAGGAATATGTTGGCTTTTCATTCTTTAACTGGTTGCGATACCGTTTACACATTTTGTGGTATTGGTAAGAACACAGCTTGGAAGGTCTGGATGTCATTTCGTGAAATTGATCGTGTATTGCATCAGCTTTGTACAAGCACCTCTGATATTGATGATGAATGTTATGCTGTGTTGCAGCGATTTCATATTCTACTTTATGATCGAGCATCAGATCTTCAGAACATCAATGACTGCAGAAGACTGTTGTTTACAAGAAAGAATCGAGCAATCGAAAACATTCCTCCTACAGCAGATGTTTTAGCACAACATATTAAAGGAGCAACTCTTCAAGCAAGAATCTGGAACAACAGCCTCGATTCACAATACGCAATACCTTCCCCAACCAATTGAGGATGGACTGTGACTTCAGAAGGATCATACCGACCTGTGTGGACAATAATTCCGGAAGTGGCAAAACACTGTGTACGACTTACCACTTGTACTTGCCGCAAGAGATGCACATCTTGTAAATGTATTAAAATAGGAATACGATGTACAAAACTTTGTGTATGTGAAGTACAGTGTTCCGACAGTGATCGGTAATCACAAGAAGATTTTTTTCCAACCCCATTAAATATCATTGCACCTTATTATTTTCTTTGTATACCAGTTTATTTTACAATATATGTACTGAATTTGCAAATTGAATTGAAATAATATTGTATTTAAATTCTTTTATTTCTCGTTCGTGTACCTATTGATTGAAACGTATCTCACAATCATCTTAGGTATGACTCCTATCACTGATTTTAAAACGGAAAAAATTTCAATTGCAATGAACATGCTACAATTTATTTAATACACATCGAAAATTACAATAAATACATTCGCTACTTATAAATATATTATTGTATAAATTAAATTCTTGCCATAACTGTGCAATGCTACATTGTTTTGACACATTTTCAGTATCTGTTTGTCATAAAATAAAAGTTATATATACCGTTCGAAAGCCAACTCATTGACGAACACAAAGTATTCGACACGTTTTTGGCTATATGCAAAGGGTTTCGAGTAATTCAGCAGAATGTTTCGATAGAAACCAAAATTGAATGAATAGTTATTTATTTTACAAAGGAAAAAAGTAGTAGATTTTAGCTCCAGAATTTGCAAGTGAACTTTGCAATTTTTTTATGAATTTCAGCAATAGAATTCTTTCCAACCATTTGGTAGATACATTTTCCTGCTCTATAGCAGACAAATAAACGTGTCTGGTATATTTACTATTAAATAACATATGACGCCACTTTCACTTTTTCTCCCTAGGGAGAAAATGTTAGGGAAAAAAGTACTTTTCCTCCCTGGAAGGATGTTGCTCCCTACATTGAGGCAAGGAATTGTATACTTTGGATAGAGGTAGACGGAAAAAGTTTTATACGCACTAGTACGGAAAAGTGACTCTTTCAGTGAAATGAGTGGGGAAAAGTGGACTTTTCCATACGCTCGTAGAAAAAATAATCAACTATTAAATTTCAGTATTTGTTGTCACATACAAATACTCTTGCTACTAGCATCGACTAAGAATCTACGAACGCGTGTTCAATTGATTTTTCAAACAACTATTTATTACAAAGCTCGTTCGCCATATTGGATCCGTCTTCTTGGATTTTTCACTTTTGACGAAACAATCATTATCTCCAAACCCGGAAAACCCCAGACACCTTCCAATTTTGAATAGAATCGGATCATAATTACATACTCGTTCGCCATATGATCTCACATACCTATTATTGAAATTTTGAATGATTTTCTGTAGCGCCCATGGATGTGACGTGACAGCAATGTCAGGGATGCCAGTAGACAAAACTAAAGTCTCTAGATCATTGAAAAAGAATGCAGCTATGATCTGTCCGTACCCTGTTAAGATGACTTTAACGTCAATTTCCATCAAGGGACCCTACTCGAGTGTATCATTGGCATCTTTCTCACAGTTGCGAATTTATGAATCCAACCTCAATGATTATTGCGGAAGATACGGAGGTGTAACCATGAAAAATGCGACACGCTGAATATATTTTTGCAAATATTATATATATTTGAAATTTGAACGCCCGGGACTATCTAACTGTGCCAAAATATACGGGGTGTTCCATAAGAAAAAATATAATTGGATGCCATATCTTCTTAATGTCACCCTGTATAAAAATTCTAATGGTGTCAATGGATTGTTCGCATCATACTTTCTGAATAAACTTTCGAAAATCATCAATATCTCTCACCTTAAAGCACTCAGAAAATAAAAACGAAGCTATTTTTCAATTTCCCCCTGTATCTCTGAAACGAATGAAGATATCAATATTCCGAATGCGCCATTTTAGGTTCCTTCGAAATCGAACCCGTAACATGTTTATCGGTTTTTCGATAACTTGTTTAGTTATTGAGATAGCCCGTGAAAACGCCCAATTTTGCCCACCCTGCCGGGTTGGAATAAGTCATGAGTTTTATAAAAAAGTCAAAAAAGTCTGACTTTTTGAATTAATTCGGACTTTTTTGAATTAATTCATTTGAGAACAAATCAAATTCTATTTACTTGAACAAAATACAAGAACATCCAACAAAACTAAGTTTTTTTTTTTTTCGTTAAAAATCTCAAAGCGTGACAATAAAATAATTAAAATATGCAATTTTTGCAATATAAACTGAGACTATTGATTGAATGGAAAATGATGTTTATTTTATTACTCATTCACAATCTTCATTATAGAGGCGCTTTACAGTTATTTTCAATAAAATGCAGCAACATCCATGGCGCCCTACGGATTGGTGTCACCTTGGAAAGCAATTTTTCGATGCATTGCAAGAAATGAATCCAGACATATTTATTTATATTGTGGTAATTTGTATTACTGGTGCAATTCTAGTGGTGACATGTTAGATTTTCGGAATTTCACGCATCATTAGATACACATTGGATCTTACTTTTCTTGCCTTTCTCATTGTTTCTTCTACCCAACACTTGACCCAACTCAAAACTCGGTGAGAAGTAATACGCTGAATCTATGACAAAAAGACATTGCAAGCCGGTAATTCCGATTCAGTGTTGAAAAGCCTACATATTATTTTTGCCGGAAATATGAATTGGAGCAATCAATTGCATGCAATGGAATATTGCAAATTGTAAAGCGGCTCTTAAAAAATTTTGTTTTCCGCGTGTGGTGCTTCACGGTTGTCAGTTGTCAGATGTCATCGGATATTTCATTTTAAACTAGTTTAAATTGAAGGTAATAATGCGATTCGTTCCCATTTGATAATTTTTAAATTAATTCACGACTTATTTGAAAAAAGTCATTTGAAATAATTCACGAATTAAATCACTGACTTAATTCATATGAATTAATTCGTGCCAACCCTGCTCGAAACTGAATGTGGAATAGCAACTTAATAAGAAATGTTTATGGATATTTTGTTATCTAACCTCACTTTTCGTCGCTTTATAGTATTATTTTTATTTATCACCATACCAGTGATCACGTGTCAACATCGATCTTCAAGTTATCAGATATGCATAATGGATCGTCGAGAGAAAAAATTCTGTGATAATAAACCTGTTCTCATATGTATGGACTTTATGGATGATACTTGATACTGTATATATTTATCTGTTAGTTAAAATCTCTGTCATGCTTGAAATAACAAAGTCTTGCCAAAATACGATCGAATTTTTCAGTTTGCACTAGTTGAAATCAAAGGTAATTTTTAAAAATTTGAATGAATTCATGACTTTTTCGAAAAAAGTCAGTGGAATTAATTCACGAATTAAATCACTGATTTAATTCATATGAATTAATTTATGCCAACCCTGCCACCCTATACACTATTCTGGTTTGAATTCCAGCCGAGATGCCGGAGACAGCGACCACCTCCCAGCCGGAGGACGTCCAGCTGTCCGGCCGCAATGCGTCCGAGGTCTGCGCCAGGTTCGACAGCGCCCTGGCCTCGGGCAGCCACCGCAGGGAGAACTCCGCCTTCGTGCCTGTCATCCCGTCCAGGAACGTCCGCTCGCTGCTCTACGCCAGGGAGATGCACCCGTTGATGGGATCGGAGCTCAGGCACGAACATCACGATAGGTGGGTGAAAACTCTTTTGACAGATAATGTTTATATAATGATGAAGATGGAAAGCCCTAATTTCGAGTGACAATGGAAACTGGAAAAACTCCACCGCCCCGTGTGAGAATCGAACTCACAACCTCTGGGTTACATGCCCAACGCTCTGCCAATTGAGTCGATCAATCGGCAGGGAGGTCGAGTTCTTATCACACACCAGGCGGCAGAATCCTTCCAATTCCCGAAGTCACTCAAAATCATGCACTATACGATGCATCGCTGGCAGGATGCTATACTATACAGTCTCCATATTTCCACGGGAACAAAATCTACTAACCTTGCTAATGCTACTGAATGAATTTGACTGGAAAATATCCAATAACAAAAAAGTTATGACCAGGTAAACATCATTTCAACTGATAAATAATTCATCCAAATTTCATATCACAAGCAAAGGGTTTAAAAATATTGAAGTCTTTAGGGTTGTAATGATGTTTATCAGAGTTTACTATCAGGAAAAGCTTTGGAAAGTCAGGAATCAATGAACTACTCAGCTCTCTCAGGATTTCGGGGTTCGAGCTTTCGAACAAGTGAAATTCAACTAGAATCAGTCTTATAGATATTAATCAAAACCAGTCTAATAATGATGCTGGTTCAAAAACACTTCATCACACACTGAGGAAAATTGTGCTATTGATGTTTATGCTGAGATATTTGTTGCTAGCATTGTAACGAACGCGAGGACTTCCAAATTAATTATTACGAAAACGAGCAATGCACTTAGGAAGTAAAAGGTCGTGTCAAATTAGGACGGTAAACATGTAGATATATGAACTATAAATATTTTCATCGAGTCTTGAATCAAGCCAGAAACGTCCGCTCTCTGCCCTACGCCAGGGAGATGCACCCGTTGATGGGATCGGAGCTCAGGCACGAACATCACGAAAGATGGGTGAAAACTCTTTTGACAGAGAATGTTTATAGCTAAACTGAGGAAAATTGTGCTATTGAAGTTTATGCTGAGATATTTATTGCTACCATTGTAACGAACGCGAGGACTCCCAAATTAATTACTACGAGAACGAGCAAATCATTTAGGAAGTAGAAGGTCGTTTCAAATTAGGACAGTAAACATTTAGATACCTATATAAACTCCAAGCTTCTTCATCGAGTGTTTACGAGGCACGGATAGCAATTCATATTGTGCAATTAAATTCATCCAATTCATGAAACAGTCTTGAATCAAGACAGGAACCTCCGTTCTCTCTGCCCTGCCCAGGAATATGCATCCGTTGATGGGATCGGAGCTCACGAGCGCAGGCACGAATATCACGAAAGATGGGTAGTCATATATTCTCGATATTTTCCTACATGAGTTCATTTGTCGAATACACTGGAAGGGTATTCTACTAGGTTGTCAGAAAATAAACATTCTAGGCGAAATTGTGAATATGAAAACAAAAAACGAGTGAGAATTCGACAGGGTGATTTTGGTATGGAAGTATGTCCCCGCCTGAAGTTATAGGAAGGATACTGATAAATAATGTAAGTTGATATAGAAAATATCATATGAGTAATTCAAATATACGCTAAGTGTTCGTGCCGGTTACCTTGTCCCATAACATTAATTCGTATTTGCTCTAGGGAGTACCAGAAAAATGAACCCATCGTTCTGCTAACTAGTCAGATTTCGAGCATGAACATTACGAAACGTATGTACAGAGGCATCACAATATCAAGCTATCATTATTGGATATATTATATTCATAGCTATCTGGCTTTATATTGTCGCGAGCCGGCCTATTTATTAATACCCCTTCATTTGATTATTATTCAATGTTCATGAAAAACGCCTGGCTCACGATCTAGGGGGTAAACTCAGATGGTGGAGATTTAATAAATAAGATCTTGGATAAAAATGGAACATGTTTATTCAATAATTGTTAAGGAAATAAATCGCCTTCAACAAGAATGTATGAGTTACAAATAAAATATCGAAATTACACTTACCGGAGATTCATTTTTAGAGAGGTGGTCGAGGTGTGGTCTCGTTCACAGCTAGATACCATCTGATTATTCCGCTCCCAAAGGTAAATCCATTGGAAGTCGCGAATAATATCCAATTCAGCAAAATTGGCATTATTTGATGATTATTGCAATTCCTTATTTTTGGATATCTGAATAAGTTATTCGTTATAGTCTAGTGAATAGACACAATATGGAATTTGGAAATAATGTAGTATAGTATAGTAAATGAAGATAATAAAATTCGGAAATATTGATGTGTTTGATTTGAAGGGAATATCGATTTGACATTTGACAATATGGTTAAAGTAAATGATAACAATAATTTATTCAGAACTATAAATATGCATAATAGATTTCATGAAACACATAATATTAGTTGCAAAAAGGGGTTGAAAACAATTAATTAATAAAATAAATTATATAAATCAAAGCAACCGTTGTAAAAAAATAAATCTGATATGGTATAAAAAAAAGGACGCTAGGTTATACATCGTCTGAATTTTTGCTGGTATGCTCGGAAGATCTTGGGAAACAGACTATTAATTATTCCAATTTTTTTCAGGTGTGACAGTGAGAGAAATGGCGATAAACCCCCGAATTTTCCGACCGTCGGGAAATCCAATTCCAGCTTCGAGCTGATGGCAATGATGAACGACAAACGGAAGGTAAGTAGGAACTCAATGAAAGATCGGATTCTAGATCCTGAACTATTTTACCTTGTATTATGTGTGCGAGTAGAAAATAGTTATTCATAAACCAAGGTTTAATGTTGAATTTTTTTCAACAATAGCATTATATTTTATTCAATATAGTTCTGTGAAATTGAAATATGGTCCTTGTCACTATGAAAGCACTTCTTTTCAATTCTAATTAGAATCTAGTATCCATGACCATTTCCCAGGTCATCATATTGGCTAGAACTTGGTTTCACATTAGCCCAAACCAATTTTTCATTTCGATATTCAATAATCAATCCAGTGCCAATGATGTGATGATATTAAAATTGCGTGACCAGCCGATCAACGATTAAACTATGTCAATTTACATAATGGGCTGATATTATATTTCCAATATCGAATCAATCTTGGAAAACATATTGCATCAATATCAGATTCATGATGGTTAGTGAATATTACATTTCATTGTCCATCAATATAGTACTGATATTGGCTCTTTAATATCAATTTGATTGTGATGATCATTCCTTGTATAATTTAATATTTAGTTAACACACCGTATTTCCGAAGTTCATCATTTGTCCTGTTACTTTGATTAGTTATCTATTTATGTCATATCACATGTCATGCTGTATTTTGTTGAATAAAGCCAATTTCTGGTCAAGGCTAGAGTCCCTGTAAGTAGTCAAGACTAACTCATTCATAACAATTTATTCAACAAAATAAATTCAATTATGGAAACCAACGAAAGGTATCTTCGTCCTGATCGATTAGATGTTGGCCCTAACTCAAGTTCGGCAGATCAAGAATGGAATCACTGGAAGCGAACCTTCGAGAATTTCCTTCAATTGAATAACGATATAACAGAAGAAATGAAATTGAAACTCTTAACCAACCTAATAACACCAAGTATTTTCGGAATAATCAGTGAGCACAATAACTTACAATCAGCCATCGATGCATTTAAATATACGCTCGTCATCGGCTTGCAACTCGAAGTCAAAAGGTAGGAGAAACTATAGATGAATATCTGGATGCATTGAAACAATTATCGAAAGAATGTAACTCCAGAGCCGTGACAGCAGAAGAAAATAAGAATGATAGCATAAGAGATGCATTTATAGCCGGACTCTCCTCAGCTCCTTTACGACAGCGGCTACTCGAAAGCATTTCTCTCCCGCTAGATGAAGCATTCAGTAAAGCTCGTTCCCTAAAAATGGCCCAATTTCCTTCAGAAAACTTCATGTCAGCCACCTCTTCGATCAATGCGGTTTCAAGAAGTTCTTTTCCAAATCAGTCCGATAATGTTGTAGGTGCTGTCGTTCGTAAACAAGAACCGACCACATGTTTCTTCTGTGGAAATTTGCGACATCCAAGGTATCAATGTCCAGCATCTGACGCAATCTGTAAAAATTGTTCGAAGAGAGGACACTTCGCCAAAGTTTGTAGAAGTAGGAGAGCCGAATCTAAAATTGCAGCAGCTAGTTCCGAATCTCTATCTTGCATTCTATCTGCTATTACTCCATTATGCCTCAACAAAGCAACAATTCCAATCAAGATCAATGGAGTAGCAGCTGTAGCACTCATTGACACTGGGAGTATTTCGAGTTTTATCAATAACTCACTTATTGGCCGTTGTCATGTTCAAAGAATGCCTACCAGTGAAAGAATCAATATGGCATCATTAAATTATGTTTCACAAGTGGAAGAATGTTGTTTAGTTGACCTCCAGTTGGAAAACCACACCTATAAACAAGTAAAGTTATTGATAATGAAACAACTTTGTACTGTTATACTTGGACATGATATACTCGGAGATCACTCTACAGTAGAAGTAAATTTCGGAGGCCCTAGAACTCCCCTCAGAATTTGCAGCCTTACTCAAGCATCAGTCCCTCCAGCGACTCTCTTCACGAATCTCTCCCAAGACTGCAGGCCTATTGCCGTTAAATCACGCCGGTATTCCCAGGATGATACAGAATTCATCAAATCAGAAATCCAAAGACTACTTTCAGAAGGAATCATCGAGAAAAGTAAATCACCATGGCGGGCACAAGTCCTTGTTACGACAAATTCGAATAACAAGAAGCGAATGGTAATCAATTATGCTCAGACAATAAATAGATTCACAGAACTCGACGCTTATCCTCTTCCCAATATAGAAGATATCGTCTCTAATATATCTAAATACAGGGTGTTTAGTACAGTCGACCTCAAGAGCGCGTACCATCAAATACCCATCGCAGAGAATGAGAAACCATATACTGCTTTTGAAGCATGTGGTAACCTCTTTCAATTTTTAAGAGTTCCATTTGGGGTCACGAATGGAGTTTCATGCTTCCAACGAACTATAGATAACATCATAAGGATGAAAAATTAGAGGGAACTTTTGCATATCTAGATGATGTGACCATTTGTGGAAAAGATGCGATAGAACATGAACATAATCTGCATCACTTCAAAGAGATTGTTGAGAAATATAATTTGACTATTAATGAAGACAAATCGAAGTTTTCCCAAACATCAATCAATCTTCTCAGACAATAAATAGATTCACAAGTCATTGAATCTTTCGAAAATTTGAAATCAGATATAGCCAAATCGATGGTGACATCCATTGAAGACAAAACTCCATTCACAGTAGAGACTGACGCATCAGACTATGCAATTGCTGCTTCTCTATCACAGAATGGAAGACCAGGTGCATTTTATTCAAGAACACTTTCTGACAGTGAGCGTCGACATTCTGCTATAGAAAAAGAAGCCTATGCAATAAATGAAGCGCTACGAAAATGGAGGCACTATCGAGAGTTTGTGCTAGTACAAGTGGTAAAGAATTATCTGATTTACACAATCTCCATCAATTTCTATGCCACCCTGGTATTACTCGAATGACACACTGGATTCGTTCAAAAAATCTTCCATTTTCCATCGATGATATCAAAAGGATCACATCTTCATGCGCTATATGTGCTGTTGTTAAGCCTCGTTTCTATAAAAATAAAGGTCAATTAATAAAAGCAACTGTACCTTTCGAACGATTGGCTTTAGATTTCAAGGGACCATTGCCTTCCATATCTCACAATCGGTACCTTTTGACGGTAATAGATGAATACTCAAGATTCCCATTTGCATTTCCATGTGGTGATCTATCAGCTGCTACAGTCATAAAACATTTGTCTATGATGTTCTCGGTGTTTGGTTTACCTTGTTACATCCATTCAGATCGAGGCTCGTCGTTTATGTCCTTTGAATTGAAACATTTCCTCCAGTCGAAAGGAATCGCCACCAGTCGCACTACGGCATATAATCCCCAAGGAAATGGCCAAATAGAGAGAGAAAACGGTACCTAGCAAAACCGAAACACAATATTGATTGAATATTATAATTCAACATAAAGATAATATTGCAAATTGATCACATCCTTATTCTGGCCAATATAGGAGGCAAATATAAATTCACAAAGAGAGAGAAACTCAAAGTCATAACTACAATAGTTCATAAAATGAACGAAAATGTTACATAACGAGAGAAAAACAACTACTTTCCTGGCTATATGCCACGCAGAACATTGGATTACATCCTCCCGAAATCTATGCATCGACTCGTATAAACGAATAAAATCGCAAGAGTTTCCTTCCTAAATGCCGAGCTGCGCCTAAGTGGTTCAGGAACGCGTGACTACCTGAAGACCGGTTTTGAGCTGTTGGCTCTCATCAGTGCAGGGCTGTCCCAGGTAGCATTCTTGACCGCTATCTGGTGCGAACCTGACCCAACGTAAACGCATCTCAGCATTATTTATACCCCACGAAGCGTTCAACGTCCGCGAAATGAACGCAAACGCCACCTGGCAAGGGGAGAAACACTCCAAAACAAGATCCCATTTCGGGTGAAATGGGAGTGGTTGGTTGCCCGGCGTATTTTCGCCTAGGAAGAAGCCAAATACTCAAAGTAGAATGCAATGATCACAATAGAAAGGAACTCAAAGTATAATTACCACAATAGTTCATAAAATGAACGAAAATGGTACATCACGAGAGAAAAGGGCTACATGCCACGCAGAACATTGGATTACATCCTCCCGAAATCTATGCAATAATGTGTATAGACTATTAAAATCGCAAGTGTTTCCTTCCTATACGCCGAGCTGTTGGCTTCCATCAGTGCGGAGCTGTCCCAGGTAGCGTTCTTGACCGCTATCTGGGGCGAACCTGACCCAACGTAAACGCATCTCAGCATTTATACCTCACGTGGCGTTCAACGTCCGCAAAATGAACTCGAACGCCGAACGTCACCTGGTTAGTAAAGAAACACTCCAAAACAAGATCCCATTTCACGCCCGACTGGCATATTTTCAACTAGGAAAAAGTCAGATACTCAAAGTGGAATGCAATGGTCACAAAAGAGAGAAACTCAAAGTCATTACCTAAATAATTCATACAATGGACGAAAATGGTAGATAACGAGAGAAAAACATTGGATTACATCCTCCCGAAATCTATGCAATAATTCGTATAGACGAATAAAATCATATTTGTTATATTCTCTTCTTCTTACAATGGGTTTCATTAAACTATAATTGTTTTTCACTTTTCACCATTTTCAAAGGCTTCAGCACTGGTCTATTATGTATACTTGATGATATGTATCCATGTCACGGTCCATATGTCACGGACAGTGACTGTCAACAATAAATAAGGTTCAAGTATGTCATAAAATCAAAATATTATTATTGGAATATCTAAAGATTTCACACCTATATCGCTTCCCACCGTTCCTGTGAATGACTAATTTGTCATTCACAGGGGTCCAAGACACCACAAACGACTAATCCACCGATTACCCCGCAGGAAATGCACCAGTTCCGCGACGAAGCCGCCCGTCTGACGGCCGCCCACGCCCTCATGCTGCCCCAACACCGCGCCGCCCTTCTCGACGCCACCGCCTCGCAGGCCGCCGCCCACCCGTACCCCGCCTTCCTGGCCCCGCCCGCGCCCGGAGCCCCGCCCTCTTTCCCCTTCCCGCCGTTCGCGGGAGGCGGAGCGCCGCCCATGCACGCCCACCTCGACAGGCGGTTGTTGAGGACGCCCGCCAGGGCGGCGAGGCCGAAGAAGCAGTTCATTTGCAAGTACTGCAACAGGCAGTTCACCAAGAGTTATAATCTGTTGATTCATGAGAGGACGCATACTGATGAGAGGCCGTATTCGTGTGATATTTGCGGGAAGGCTTTCCGGAGGCAGGATCATCTAAGAGATCACAGGTAATTTTATTCATTCATAATGATTGAAAGGTATATGTCAACAATACCTACAAATGGACGAACCATATTTATTAACGAAATAGTCTGCTCTAGATTTGTAAATGACTAATGACATTTCTTACAACGATTATTGCTGGTTTACTACGAAACTTTTCGGTGCCGCCAGGTTCAACTTTGAATAATTCATATTTTTCATTATTATGTACGAATGTTGCGAATTAAAATATGAAAACAATATGAAAGAGATAATAAATAATAATAATAATAAAAAAACCATGTTTCTATGCATTATCGTATTACATTGGCGTAATGAATGAGGATAATGGACCTATTCCATATAGCCCTCTATATAGTTTAGTAATATAAAAATTAATATTAAGAATTTAGCTTTACTTTGTTGAGTAACGTATATTCATGCATTATTTGTCACCCAACAAAACTCTAAATATCAAATTATTGAAAATTTTTCTGAATGACGATGTCACCGAATTGGTACGTCACACCGACGTGATTTTTAGACGTCATAGATCCGACCTGCAACGTCATAAAAGTGACGGTTTCAATATAGGTACACCTATATTATCATTTGTATATATACATATATAGCTTGATTGGTTTCCGAGATATACAGGGTGTCAAAGTTTGAAAAAGTTTTCTCTTACTTTTTGGGTATATATAATTCCAATAAAACATGCATAGTGATTTGATTTAATGAATTTTACTTCTGTCGTTAGAAGCATACATATAAAATTACCAAAATCGTTTTTTTCTGAAAACTTTTCGAAACTGAAAATGCCAATCCTGTATATATAGGTACGTCACAAACCCAACGGTTTCACATGATAATGTAAGTATACATGGCTTAGATATATGGTCTGGGGAATATGGACGTCGATAGAACGACCCTGCAACGTCATGTAACTGACGCCTTATTTCACCCTTCTGAGTGACGTTCACTCGACGTCGAGATGATGATGTGATTATAACCTCATAGAGAGTACGTCGTAGTGACGCTATGAATTGGTGTGTGACGTCTCTGACGAAAAATCGACAATTGAGGACGTTACGTGACGTGACTATTCGTCATCTGGTTGCCTGGGTTGCAAAGTTTCTCAATTTCTTTTCATGTTCTGGTTCTCAAGAAAAAGGAAATCCTGTAATGTTCAGAGAACATCGTGAGAACCATTGGAAATAAGGTAGGAATTGGTGTTCTTCTTGAATTTCTTGAGGTTATATACCTCGGGGAACACCTCCCTTGGCAATGTGTTCCAGAGCCTCAATGTTCGTTGGATGAACGAGACTTTGGAAAGAGATGTTCTGCAGGTCTCCAAAGTGACCACGAAGGGGTGCGAAGCCTCAACTCGACGGGTTAATCTCGCGAGGACTGCCAAGGGAGGAACAATTGTTGATATTTCAGAAGAGCATCGTCCATGAAAATATTTATAGAATAGAGCCAGATCGCCAACTTTTCTACGGTGTTCCAGAGGTCGGATCTGTGCCTTCTAGATCATAAGCAGCTGACTGGAAGTGGAATAGGTCCTGGCCCGAAACAGAAAACCAAGTGTTTGGGATGCACTTTTAGCAATTGATCTCACGTGATTTTTCCAAGAAAGGTTATTGCTGATAATAATACCAAGCATTGAAATGGATGTCTTCAAAGGAATGGTTACCCCTGAAAAGCTCATATTGGGCACAGTGAGATCGGCTTTTCTAGAGAAAAGGCATGCTTGTGTTTTGTTTGCATTGAATTCTACCAACTTATTGGCTCCCCATTCAAGAATCGTTGCCAAGTCCATATTTATGTTGTTAACATTTCTCCCTCGTTCGTTTCTGGTTTGCCTGGCTGGTATTGGAGTCCTGGAAGAGGAGGCGGTATGGAGGGTACTATCATTCGCGAAGCTGTGTACTGGTCATGAAGTTGCTTCCAACAAATCGTTGATATGGAGTAGGAATAGTGTTGGTGATGGAATTGAAACACCAGCATTTATTATAAGAGAGATGAATTTTCGTCGACCACTACATGGAGAGACCTGTTTGAGAGAAAAGTGGCTAGCAGAGAACATAGCCGGGGAGGCAAGCCATAAGATGGAAGCTTTGGCGAGGACTCCGTGGTGCCATACTCGATCGAATGCCTTGGAGATATCAAGTGCCACTGCTAAGGTTTCACCATATTTTTGAATAGATTGCTGCCATGTATTATGTGAGACGTAAGCGAGCAGGTCACCAGTTGATCTTTGATGACGGAAGCCATATTGCCTATCGATGATAATACCTGGCGTTCCAGGTATTTCATGAGCTCGATGTTGATAGTTTTCTCCATGTTCTTTGAAATAACATCGCAGTTGCATATTTGCAATCATTCGCGGACCATATTTTGGCTTCTGCGGGCCACTGGTGGTGTCTATGGACCACTTATTAGGAACGACCATTGCTCTAAGGAAATCTATATACCTTCTTATCTTCCATTCCAGATACATCCACAGCAAAGAGAAGCCGTTCAAGTGCGGCGAGTGCGGCAAAGGCTTCTGCCAGTCGCGCACCCTGGCCGTCCACAAGATCCTCCACATGGAGGAGTCCCCCCACAAGTGCCCCGTGTGCAGCCGGTCCTTCAACCAGCGGTCCAACCTCAAGACGCACCTGCTCACGCACACCGACCACAAGCCATACGAGTGCAACGCTTGCGGCAAGGTAATAAAGTCTGTTTAAGTATTTTTCTACGGCTATAGGCGACTGAGATTAAGATCGTAGCGCCAGAACGGCGAATGTCGGTACTACTCTATGGGCCATTGGCGGATTGTTTACATTGTTTGGTAATGGTGTTTATGTTCATTTCGTTTTGAGTTTTCAAACGTTCAGTTTTGTTATTTGTCTATTTTCGAACTTTGTATTTTCCAGCGGTCTACTGTGTTTTGATTGAGGACTATATTATCTCTGTTCAACGTTAGATAACCTCCCTACCTCTAGTTGAACTTCATATATACCAACATACATAAGCTGTAAGTTTTTATCATTATTGAACAAGAATTCTCATGAAAACCTGTGTGGGATGTTGATTTCCAATTCGAATATATGGCTGGGATATTCCCCTGATAGCATGATATTTTTAAAAGAAAATCCAGCATACTTTTTGGGAATAAAATGTTCTTTCGAAGGTGAATTTAGGTATACAGTTTCTACTTGACTTTTTACAACATAATCATCAAAACCCTGATTGACAAAATTCTGTACTATTTAAAAATTCTACTGTTCATGAGTAAAGATATAATCAGTTCAAAATTTGTTTGCTTTTTTACCATCACCTCAAGAAGTAGGTATTATATTCATAAAATAGACATACATATGAGTAAATTTTCAGTGAAGTGTAAAAAACAATATCGCATTATGTTCAGACACTTTTTCCAATCTTCAAGTCATGAACCCACACCTTTCTCCTACCGATCACTTCCTTGTTTCCCAAATTATTTGTTTTAAATACAAATTTAGACTGTCCTGATTTTTGAAAGGAATGAAAGCTATACTCGAAATGTTTTTATTCAAGATGAAGGTACACAACAATAATGACTCATGTTTTCAAACGTTTATAGAAGTTCTCAAACAAAATTATAGACAATTAAAACACAACTACTTCTCATACAAAATACACGCAAAGTAATGTAAACAAAGCAATCAATGGCCCATATGTTAGTTATATTGGACAACGGTAGAGGGCGTACTCCTTAGCATGATTCGCCTATAACACAAAATTGCTCTTGTTACCGTGTTCAATACATCTATGAGGTACTTTGTATGTCACCAATTTTATTTCCATATCTGGTATCACAATGACTCCATTGTGTTATTATTTCAAAAAAATCTCATTGCCCATGGAATGTCAAATTTCAAGCAATGAGAGCTCTGTCTAATAGATGAGCATTACTTGACAGGAAATCAGATGGCTACAAGACAAAGAAATCGAAAATGCCGCTGTTATCTGTTACAGCAGTAGAAAAATTAAATTCCCACTCGAATGATTCGAGCCTACGGCTCTTGTTGGAAACTTCATTCTCGTGGGAAATCACAATCATTCCGTGTTCGTTAAACAATATACTATTTTCTAAGGCTATAACTTCTCTAGAATCTCTTTTGTTTTATTTTGTTTGATACATCAATGAGGACATCACAATAATGACTTCATTGTGTTATGATTAAAACAAAAAAAAAACTCATTGCCCATGGAATGTCAAATGTGAAGCAATGACAGCTCTGTCAAATAGATGATCATTACTTGAGAGGAAATCAGACGGCTACAAGACGAAGAAATCAAAAATGTCGCTGTTATCTGTTACAGCCGTGGACAAATTTCCACTCGAATGATTGCAGCATTCGCCTCGTTAAACAATATATTATTATTTTCTACGGCTACGGCTTTCTGCATCTCTATTGATGCGTTAATGTTTACTTTTTTTCAACGTGAAATATTACTTCATGAAGGATTTATTTTAGTCAAAATTATTGATTATTCAACATAAAACAATTTCAATTATTGGAATAATAAATTGAAAGTAAACTTTGAACAATTACTTCCAACATTAATTCCCGAAGATGTTCCAGCTGCTGATCAGAAATGTTAGATATTTCTTGGAGAGTTGATTCCACAATTTCATCAGATATTTCAATTTGTTTGAAAGAAGATGGACAATTCAATATTTTGTTACACATTCACAGTTGTACAAAAATTGTTGTTTTAATTTCGTGTTCATCAACGGCGGAATATTCTTGGAAATATTGATGCTCTGCCACTAATTTAGTGGCAGAGCAGAGTGATGCCTAAACATTAAAAATTAAAAATTCAATTCCGACGGAGCTTTTGAGTTTAGAGGTAAGTTTGGTTTAATCATCTCACTTTGATCTCAAGAGTATGGTATCATTTTATGTAGATTGGGTAATGATTTCGTTCGTTATTGAGTACAGTTTTATAATGAAAATTATTATAGATACTTAGTATATTGGAAAATATTGAAACGACTTATTTTTATTTATTTATTTTTTTCACTTATTGCATTGCATTCTTTTCTTTATTGATATATTTTTATACAGAAAATATATATGTTACCGTGAAAGTCCGAAAGCTGGTGATTGTCAGGATATACCAGTGAATGTCAACATTCACCAAGTTACTTGGCGTATGTCCGATATATTCATCAAATATCATTATTTCTAACTGTATAAGAAGAAAACAAAATAAAACTCTATAGGTTATTATTTATTGTGATTAAATCATGGAAGAAGGTTTCAAATGAACATAAAGAAGTTGTTGAATCTAAGACAAACACAACAAACATAATATTAATATAAAAATAAAATGCATTTTATTTCTTGAACTAAAATGTAAAAAACAGAGTAAAAGTATGGCAACTTTATTTATTGCAACAACTTGAGCTACCATGACATTTTGAATTACACAAAAGGCTCCTGTTTTTACAGCTACATTTAGACGTGGAACACTTGTTTTTGCAGTTACAGCGTGTATAGCCTTGCCCTACGCTTTTTGAATTAGCAGAAGCTGCTTCTCTTACCGAAATTTCTTGAGCTGAAATCTCATCCATGGAAATTAACTTTTCTTTGCAAATTGCAAATTGATTACCGGTGAAAAGCTGCTTTGAGGTGCCATTTTTGTTTGCTATTTACTGCAGTGGCCATCAAACCTTGTGTAAGACTGGCGACAATTCTGTTAGTACCCGTCGTTTCTGACATCGACCAAAGCTTATATGTGTTTGTCGACATCTACCGGTGAAGGACCGAATTTATATTGGAACTGATAATTGTTCGGTCTTTTACCAATACATTTGGTGTGTGTCGACATTAACTGGTGTATGTCAACAATCACTAATTTCGGTCTTTCACGGTAACATATATAAAGTTTAATTAATTTTCTAGTAGGAATGACATGAATGATCAGTAAGTATTATCGACTGTTGTATAATTGAAATTACAAATAGTGAACAAAAATCACATATCATTAAGATATCTCAAAATAACAGTATTCATATTATAGTGAACAAGAAGGGGAAAAAAGAAACAGTAAAAAAAAAGGAAATTCATAATAGTCTTTCGGCTTTGATCATTCCTTTGCATATAAATATATTTCTTCACTTCATTTTTGAATTGTATATTATTTGGGCTGTTTTTGATATCATCTGGTAATTTATTGAATTTCGAAATCGCCTCATGTGTAAACTTTTCTTGTCCAAGTATAGAATTTGCAGCTTCAATATGAAACAATAGTTATATTGTCTAGTGTGATGACCATGAATTTGGGGATTCCTAATTGAGATAAAATTTGATTTAAGCTTTTTGTTGATGATATAATAGGAAATTTTGAGAGTATTGATTATAACGACTACATTCTCTCAAATGTTCTATGGGGGGAGGGGTACTAGATTTCAGCCCCCCAAGCCACCCCTAACTTTTCAATAGCCCGAAATACGTATTGTAATGATATTCCCTTCAGAGGGGCTCTAGAAGCATCAGCAGGAAGGCAGGAGTACAACGATCATCCTGTAACACGCATCCCAGATTGTTCTCCAACCTCCCAATGATTCCTACATACACCAGCATATTTCCGGACACTCAATATATGCCGCAGTGACAAATAACGTCACAGAAGATTCTGGAATGTTCTGGAAACAATCTATGGAACAATAATTAGAGAGAGAGGTTTTGTTCTAAGAAGCTTCTATACCTTTTCAACTTCAATTTCGGAATCGGTGAGTTATATTTCGGAAAAAGTAATCTCGATTTCAGAATTGCTTCGTTCGATTTCAGAATTGCTTAGTTCGATTTCAGAAATGGTGAACTTAATTTCAGAATCGGTGAGATGAGTTTCAGAAAAAGTCCATTCAATTTCAGAAATGTTAAGTTGTATTTCAGAATTATTATTGGTAGGTTCAATTTCAGAAGATGAAATCCATTTATATGTTTGAAATGTTTTTAATTGCAAAAGAGAAGACTGTTTACAGTGGATGGAACGGTGTTTGAGAGCCCTATGTTGAATCAGTTGAACATATTATATGGGGTGCCTTCAAGTCAGAAGTGAAGAGCTTCTTGCAAGAGCATCGCCAAAGGGTCATAGCTGGAGATCCGAACAGATTGCTCAACCAGATAAAATTCAGACTGCGATGTCTTGAAGAATGTGCAGATCATTCAATGAACATGATAACACCTCAAATGTGTTTGCTCTTTTATAATCATGTTCAACGCCACTATCTTCGATTCAGATGGAAGGCATCTGTGGATCAAATTGTTTTTGAAAAGTTGAATATTTTAAATATGGTTTGTTAATCTCACATGCAATTGGAAACATTTCGAACAAATATAAGGATTTTTTTTATGATATTGAACCTACCAATTCTGAAATATAACTTACCATTTCTGAAATTGAATGGACTTTTTCTGAAATTCATCTCACCGATTCTGTAATTGAGTTTACCATTTCTGAAATCGAACTAACCAATTCTGAAATCGAGATTACTTTTTCCGAAATATAACTTACCGATTCCGAAATTGAAGTTGAAATGGTATATAACAAAAAGAAGGAGACGGAAGATCATTCGAGAACGTTCTCGAACCAAAGCCTGCCAAGTGATCTCATATATAAACGGCCGAACAACTGCTGTCAGTCAGTCGAGCAGCGAGTGTCAGAGAGACAGTTATATACCGCGTGATATAAATCGTTTTACATAAATAGTAGTTATAAGTTCGATATAAATCAGTGTTTCTTTAGTTCAAATAAATCTGTTCGAAAATAAACAGTGTCGTGTTCGCTTCTGCACCTGAATAACGTAACAGTATGAATAGAATTTTATAGAAGAGAATAGAATTTTATTTGACCAAGTTACAATTCTTATGTTTTTGGCAAGTCAAAATGTTTTTCAAAAGCAATTACAGAATAAAATAAAATATACGCCTAAGCTATAAACAAACATACATACAACATTCTCACAAATCCAACAAATCTAAAATATAAATTTTGCTGTTTTCGAAATGTAATCAACACAATTTATCGAGAAGTGGGGGTGTTTTCAGATATTCATCAATTGAGTAAAAACAATGGGACAGCATGTGTCTTTTCAGTTCTAATTTGAAGCACAGTTATAATTGTGAATCTTGAACTCTTGAGGCAGGAAATTATAGATTCCAATATTCAATATGAATTCATTTGGGTTTTGTTGAGCCTATATCGGGGAGGCCTCAAGTCGTTTGCTCCACGAGTTTGGTTCTCATGAAAATCGAAGATGGCACACAATAGTCATTTATTATACAAGGGAAAAAAGTAGTAGATTTTAGCTCCAGGTTGTGTTGTCTGCCGACGCGTAGAGGAGGGAGACAAACAACCGTGAGCTAAAATCTAATATTTTTCCCGTGTATAATACACTATTTTTTTCTGTGACAGAAGAAAGGACGAATCAATATTGAGAAGATATTACATTATTTTGAAATCTGAAAATTAACGACGTGAAATTTTAAGTTTTTAACAGTAGGGACACCTGCGTTGTAGGCATCTTTATCATTCTTTTGAAGCTATCAAATATCCGATATCACTTCTGTCAGTCTAGTTCTGTGATTTGATATAAAAAAATTGCGAATTTAGTGGTTGGAAGACAAAAGGACAGTTCTTTCTTGGAGACGGTATTATTGACTCATTTTTCGGAACTATAGCACAACAAAAGCCATCAACAGTGTATATACAGGGTGTTCCAGTTTTTTGTAGCAGGACTTGACTTTAACAGCTTGAAAGAGACAATTTTTTAAGATGAAAATCTCATACAAACATATATGCATGGAAGCTTCATTTCCGATTTACAGGGTGTCAAAGTTTCAGATTTTTTTTATGTTTTTTGAATTTTCTCCTACAATTTTCGGAATAATTGATTGAAATTTAGTACACCTAATACACTTCAAAAACTTGATACTTGAGGCTATTGAGCGTTTTTGAATACCTACAGGGTGATAGACTTTCAGGGGTCGTACCCAATTTAACCCTGTAGAACTTTTTTGCGTGCCGTCTCTGCTTTCAATGGGACATAGATCCAGATTGTCCTTTCAATTTGAAAACTTTTTGCCTCTACGTAAATTTTTCGAAAACTGTATGGATCTCGATATAAATGCCAAAAATAAATTACTTGTTATAAAACCGTTATTTCTCGAACAAACTTATTTGACATTTCTCAAACATTTTATTCGAATGACCAAAACTTTCCATACCAAATGAAATTCAGTTGCCAAATCAGATCGAATTTTTTGAACACGATTATAATTAAAACTAGGAAAAAACAAAGAACAAATGTTTTTATTTTGAAAAAACTTCTCTAACTGGATTGCAAAATCTGAAATTGTATTGTAGAAAATTCTAGGACACCCTGTATAACTGGAACTGGTTGAACTTTCCATATCAGGGACTGTTCGCTTCTAACGTGAGTTTTAATAATTTAATCTCGTGAACGACAATTCCAATTTTATCAGTAGGTACCCTTAGAAGTGGTTCGGACTCCACTTTTATTCATCTCTAAATCCATACAGTTTTCGAAAAACATACATGGGGGCAAAAAGTTTCCAAATTGCAGAGACAATCTGAATCTATGTCCCATTGAAAGCAGAGGCAGAGGCAGCACGCAAAAAAGTTCTACAGGGTTAAATTGGGTACGACCCCTGAAAGTCTATCACCCTTTAGGTATTCAAAAACGCTCAATAGCCTCAAATATTGAGTTTTTGAAGTGTATTAGGTGTACCAAATTTCAATCAATTATTCCGAAAATTGTAGAAGAAAATTCAAAAAACATAAAAAAAATCTGAAACTTTGACACCCTGTAAATCGGAAACGAAGCTCAAACGCATATATGTTTGTTTGAGATTTTCATCTTGAAAAAATGTCTTCTTCAAGCTGTTAAAGTCCTGCTACAAAAAACTGAAACACCCTGTATATGTGAGATATATATCCGGGAAAAAAGTACTAACTTTTTTCCCACGGGAAAAAAGTAATTTATGAAAAGTGACATTTTATAACCTGCCAACAAACATGAAATGCCAAACTTTCTTCCCGTCACAGAAAAAAGTTCTTTTATTCTTGTGAATTTACAGAAGAGTAGAGTAGATGAATAGGGAAGGGACAGGAATAATAGAGAGTTGTTTGAAATGAAAGAAATCAAAACTGCCCCATCATAACTTTCCCAGTAAAGATTCAGTGAATGATCTGGTATGTTTTCGCTTTGAAAAGGTGTTCAGGAGGAACTGCGATTTGAGGAGGCACGCGCTCACCCACGCCGTGGGGGACGTGCCCGGCGACGGCCTGGAGGAGGGGGAGGAGTTCCAAGGGGGGGCTGCGAGACCGCCGAGCCCCGGGCCGACGGACAAGGACGAGAAGTGCTCCAAAACGCCGGAGATAACTAGGTGAGGATTTACTTCACATTTTCGTGTTTCCAGGGGCCCCTGCGGCCGGTTTCTTCATTTCCCCGTCGGTTTTTCTTTCTCCCCAATTGTTTTAATGCACCATCATAATTCAAACTGTTTGTCAAATCACTGTGGATCGGAAGTATTCTCAGAGATTGTTATCTTTTCTACAGGGTGAGTCATAACTATTGGGACACAGGCTGAGGGTAGATAGTTTGGACTAAAATATGGCGATAGGATCAAATTTGCCTCGATAAAATATTGCTATGGAAAAAGATACAGGGCGTTGAAGTTGATTTTTTTTCAGTTTTTTGCTAATAACTTCACTGTATATTCATCAATTGTTATCAACATCGGCACAGGGGCATAATTTTATACAGGGAATAATATTTCATGTATTATTCTACATTGAGTTACATGGAGCGCCACGTGAATGATGGCTGGTGATGAAAACGTCTGCTAACTTTTTTTGACGAAACTTTTTCGCAATTTTGATTGAAAAATATGACATAAACATTATTTTTACGAAATATTGGTACTCTTGTTCGAACATGATATATTCATCCGTTGTCGAGAAAAACGCAATTGAACAGATCGGAGTAACGAACAATAAAAAAACTTGTCTATTTCAACGACAAAGCACAATAGGCGAGAACACTAATTTCTGGAAAAAATACCATGACCTTCAATATGACGATAAAAGTCTCAGATATTTTTTTCAGATTTTAATTCGAAGTAGTTTTTCCACAAAGAATTCGCAAAGTATTGATCCCGTTCAAACGAGCTGGAATATGGCGCGTTAATGTGACGTGACAAGTATTAGACGGTGATCCGGCAACGTCGCTTAATATCTTCTGGACTGTTGACAGTGTGGACAGTTGACAATTCGTTCATCTGTCAGTTGTTATTTCATTTTATTGTTTATTTGGTTTTGTCGGCCTATTCGCGAAAATCACGAAGTGTGCGGCCTCTGGTGGCTAACTTTACAAGCCTTGCGAGTATGAACAACAAATATGGCGACCATTGTTCTGAGTTTCTGTGTTTTATTTGAAAATAATTTATTTGTTGAAGTGCATATTCCAGAACCTCATTTTTCCCTGATAAAAAAAACTCGAATTATTGCATGAACTTTTATTGTTTACAATGAAGAAGCCAGCACCTACCTTATAATAATATAATATACATTTTCTGAAGCACAGTTTAGAATCCTTGTATGAATGTTGGTTGCAATGATTCGATCTTGAGAATAACTTCAAGTCTTCAATTGCTGGAGATCCTTTTTTATGTAAATCGATGATATTGTTCATTCTGAGCAGCCTCTCCAACCATATCTTCTTTTCCCAGCCCCTTCACTAGAATTCCATCTCCTTCATAAAAGCCAGTGATATTTCTTGATGAATTCAATTATTTCTTCATACCTATACCATATTGTTGTAATAGCTGATTGCTTATATGGCTCCATTCCAGTCCATGCAAGTGTTGAGTGGACCATTCTGACCATTCCATATGTTTGAAAACTGTGGAATTGTAGTGTGATATCAATGATGAATACCACCATTGTCCACATCAAAATGGCAATTTCTCTGCACAAAAAGTAATTTTTTCCATACTGAAAACCTTGTACGTATTTCACGAAGTCAACTTATTATTCACTATTTTGCAAAATGATTTCGAAATAACCAATTTGCAATGAGTGCATACGGCAATGTTTTTGTTGTTCATACTCAGTTTGAAATTTGACGTTGATTTGACATTTAATAGAGCCATCTATTGGTTCGTGATTTTCGCGAATATTATTGTTAATTTGTACTGCCATTCGAATTATTTGTTTTTTCTTATCAACGTTGATTCACACTTCTGGAATGGCTGTGACTGTAAGGAAATGCCACAAACTTGGTTCTATCCTGCTTAATCAACAGTGAACAAAGTATATGGATAAACCGAGGGATAAACTGTTTATTCTGATTCCTATGAAGGAAGACATTAGAAAAATTTGTGTGTTGCTGTTGATAGACCATACCTGAAATCAAATAATATATTTTGCTGTGACGATCATTTTGATGTGAGTAGAATTTTATCTTCAATATGGATTGATTCTAAAATCATTATCATTTTGTTCTAGCTTGAATATGACATGTTGAACTGGATGGAATGAAAACTCATTGGATCTAGAGTTTATATGCCTGAAGATGTGAGTCCTCATATATTCATTAAAAGTCCAAAACTGAGAGAACACCCATTAAAATCCTAACTTTCATCTTCAGCACAGAAAAGGAGATCTCAATAATCCCTTGAGTATTTGGGAGATAAGATTAAATAGAACTTCCCTCCAAATATTGACTCTCCTTGGGGAAAATTCTTGGAAGTATCAGTGAGTGTTTCAGCTGAAGAAAGTTTTCTTGAAGAACCTGTCATGGAAGAGACTGACATCAAATACTATGAACCCGAACAACAGTCCCATAAGATATTGTGAAAAAATGACTCAGGACTATTGCTGATTGATATTACAAATATGTTTGTGATAATTACCAGTTTAATTTGTTTTCTTACAAACTTTGTGATGATCTGGACAAGATATTGATATAATATTTCCATGTTCTACATCTATATTTGTTCTAGAAATGAAATATATCTATTAGGAGGTCTTTTGATATTCAACTGTTCTAATCATATCTACTGTATGAAGTGGACAATAAATGAAAATTTCCACCAACAGAAGATGGGGGCATTTGATAATTCCTGTGTACTACCTATTTGTTTACTTTTTTGACAAATTTTCCCCACATAAAATAGTGACAATACCTATCTAGTAATTTTGGCTCTTATGATTTTGAGTTTGTTTTTCGAATTGAGAACTGATGTTGCATCTTCCATCATTTCTAGATATGCCAGTACTTTCTTGGTTTATACTTACTGGATTTTTTTCCTACTACAGAATTCATGAACCTCAAAATAAATAGAATACCTAGGTATATTCATAAAGATCATGACTTTTCATTTACTTTCTTGGTGTAATGATAGGTATTGTTCTCTTTCACCAATATTCCACTGACATTGATAGAATATGAATGAACTAGGTAGTTCTACAAGAAGTAATCATGAATTTCATATACCTACCATCTCCAGCAAGATCTTCAGGTTGTGAAGGTATGGTGTATCATCAATATGAGAAGGGATTTTGAAGTTTTGTATGATGAAATATGTTATTTATAAGACACACATGAGCTCTAAATAAGTACAATTTTGAAATAAGAGAAGAAAAAAGGTACTGTGGGACTGATATTTTATAATTTTATTAAATGGGTGAAAATAACAGTTTGCCAAAAATATTCAGCATCTTTCATGATTTTTTAAAGGAATATAGGGTCATATGACACTTCATGTAACTGAAAACTACCATTATTTTCAAAATTCTCCTGCTCATCTAATGTACCTATGAATGTCTTGCACTTTGTGCCTCATATAGCTTTGAGGCAGTAATTCTTCCATAGCGAACTTCAAACCATGCTGATAATGATGATTTATTTTGATTCACTGTTAAATCTTGCACAAATTCACAATCACTGTCACTGATATTCTGATGAATGGAGTCTTGGAATCCCCCAGGAGACAAATTCAGCTTCATGAATTTCAGCCTCAACCCTTTATGGTGTAGGACGAATTTTATGTTCTGGACTAATCTTCACCTTTATGATACAGCTCATGCCAGTTCTTTTTACTTGCAGAATTCAAAAACCATAGTTGAATCAACTACTGGAAGATTGTGATTGCTTTTTCGAATACTGGCTTCATATCTCCAATCAATAAACATGAACCATCAGACTACGTCACAATAATAGTCACAATGATTTGAATATATTGATTACCCAAGAGAATATTCAACTCTATTAAGCAGATAAAAAATTGCAGAAACACTCTGATGTTTTGATGTTTATGAGTTCGACTTTTTAGGTTAGGAAATGGGTTAGAATATTTTGAAGGTACAGTACAGCGTTGCCAAATGCACGCCAATACTTGTTACGTCATCACGTATCCGCCATTATTGGTTTTTTGAGTGGTCCACAATTTTGTATGGTTTTGGAAACGCGTTCTTTGGATAATGACAGCATTTATTGTTGAAAAAACTACTGGTACACATTATTTCGATGTTATATTTATATATTATGCACATTTGAACTGAATTCGTGCTATGTGTTCTCGCCTATTGAGAACAACATAGAGAGAGCAAACTCAAATCAAATGTTCTACGTGGCCTCCTCCGACTGCTATGCCTTTTCTAATTCTTTCAATAAAAGACTTCCGGACTTCAAAAAAATATTATTCTGTCCCCTTATAAAGTTAGCCGCATTTTGTATTCTTCTCCAGACTTCGTCTCATGAGTTGATTTCATCGGCATGAACTGAGGACTTCATATGTCCCCAAACATAAAAATCAAGCGGGTTATAGTCAGGACTTCTTGGTGGGTATTCAACATCACTTCCTCTGCCAATCCATCGTTGAGGAAATATGTCACTTAGATGATTTCTAACAACTAATGGAAAATGAGGTGGAACTCCATTGCATAAACCACATTTTCCTTCTTACAGCTAGTGACAGATTATCCAAAATATCACTGAACGTATTTCGCAAAACAAAAAAAAAAGAATCTCCATTCGGAGGCAGAAAATATGGCCCTAGTAGTTGGTCGTCTATAATGCATGCAGATTTTGTTCTTCCCAATAATGGCTGTTACGCCAATTGAATAATAATAAATCTGGTAAAAGTAGCTTCATCGGTGAACATAATATTCTTAATGAAAGTTTGGTAATCATTATGCTTGTTGAGAATACGTTGGCAGAACTGTAACCTATGTGGGAGATCTCTTGGAAGCAAAATTTGAACAGGAGTGAAGTGATAAGGGTGGAGCTTTCCTCTTTTAGGAATTCTAATAATAGACGACGTTTCGTGATTTGGTTGCCTTCTGCCTGGATATAACAATTCATACCTTCTGGCTGCAGAGC